CAGTCTTCTCTTTGTATAGTTGGTGTTGTCTGGTATGATATCCCAGTCCTCTCTTTGTATAGTTGGTGTTGTCTGGTATGATATCCCGGTCTTCTCTTTGTATAGTTGGTGTTGTCTGGTATGATATCCCAGTCTTCTCTTTGTATAGTTGGTGTTGTCTGGTATGATATCCCAGTCCTCTCTTTGTATAGTTGGTGTTGTCTGGTATGATATCCCAGTCCTCTCTTTGTATAGTTGGTGTTTCCTGGTATAAAATCCCAGTCTTCTCTTTGTATAGTTGATGTTGTCTTGCATGATATCCCTGTCTTCTCTTTGTATAGTTGGTGTTGTCTGGTATGATATCCCAGTCTTCTCTTTGTATTGTTGGTGTTGTCTGGTATGATATCCCAGTCTTCTCTTTGTATAGTTGGTGTTGTCTGGTATAATATACCAGTCTTCTCTTTGTATAGTTGGTGTTGTCTGGTATGATATCCCATTTCCAGAGCTGGGTCGCGTTGTTTATGTGCCATTTTTATACCCTTGATGCAGATGTATTTTTGTATATTCAAGGATCACGTGGAAGAGCCACTAGCACTATGGTGCTATTTCAGAGAAAAACGATTGAGGTATAGAGTAGGACTAGCGTGCTATATCAGAACATGACAGGTGAAAATGCTGGGAAGGACTGGATAACAGAGGCTAATGAAGGTAAGGGAAAGGACTGGATGATAGAGGCTAGGGAAGATACGGGGAAGAAATAAATCTAAAAAACTCTCATTTCAATTCATAGTTGAAGAAACAAGAAAACTATTGGCCAAAAAGTCAGATAAAAAGAGAGTGAAACGATATTACAGAAATATGTTTATTTTGAATATTAAGTTAATGGTAACGAAGACAAGCATACACTCTGTTGACCGGAACCAATCTTTAAGCGGATAAAGAGGCGATGTGGAGATGTTCTATTTGTTTGGTAGGATATCTTTTGGTCTGTTATAATTCTACAATGTAAATGTAGGGCGATATTGACGTCTCAATGGAATTGCAAGGACTACATACAGACTAATTAAAAAAAACTTCACTTCTAGTTGTATAAAGATGCACATTATTTCTTCTTCAGAATAAACTCATAGCTTGCTGGTTTAATATTAAGGGTTGTATGCAGCGCTCGTACTTTGACTAAAGTTAGACTTTGTCTATTAAAGTCGTTAGTATACAGGCGATTGTATCCGTCTCAGATAGATCTGCGGTATATGAAATTCAAATATTTTGTTTAATTCGTATAAGAATGTATCCAATACATAGCATTATTAGGTCGACTTGTTCTTCCTATCTGCAATTATAAGTTTACCTTTATCTGGGGTCTGGTTGCGACCTTGAGAAACAACCCTTCACCATGCCTTTGATACTGTGACTTACCTTAGGTCGATGTGGATGGTACTACCTATCTTAAACAGCTTAAGCCGTTTTCAAGGACGTACTTGCTTTCTCAAACAGATAAAGCTGTCTGCACCAGGAATGGACAACGGCTCGTAACCAGGCATACACTCACAAACAATGTCAGCCACCGGAGAACATTCTGATTTGAGAATGGAGAACAGAGGACAATGATAGTTACAAGTTGCGCACCAACTATATTTGTTGTAACTTCCGCTAAAGGTGCCTTTTGGGCATGGTGCACAAATTGTGTTCTTGGTAGCGGTACATGGTATTTGAACATACTCTCCCGGTCCACAATCACAATCTGGAAAAGGAATAAAAACATGTACAGATGGTTCTACGTTTGTTTAGACTAGTAGTAGGCTGGTTTCCCGAAAATTTCCCACGAATTTTACCTGTATTTTGCGTTCGGGTTGTTGTTAATATTGATATTATTCGGTCGCGATATTGCTATATCGTATCATTAATCAGTACATTGGACTAGGTAGTCTTGATTGGCCAGTCTTACCTGAGCAGGGATCTGCTGCGCAAGCCTCAGTTTCAGTTTGATCGCCGATACATGTCGCACCTCCATTTGCGGAACTTGGATTATCACAAAGCCGTTGTCGAGTCCACATACCACCACCACAAGTTTTTGAACAAGTGGAAAATTGTCCCCAGCTTCCCCAACTGCCATCAACTGTAAAGTAAATGATTATATATCTACAGAAATATTTAAAGAAATATATTGCATACCCGTTGAAAACGTGTTTAACCAATCCTTACGTGTATACAAATTAATAGTTTTTATATCGAATACAGGTGATTTGTGCTGAGTATTTTTTTCATGTATATTATACGTACCAGGTCATGGAATTGATGTATATTATACGTACCAGGACATAGAATTTGTGTATATTATACGTACCAGGATGAGGAATTGATGTATATTATACGTACCAGGACGAGGAATTGATGTATATTATACGTACCAGGTCATGGAATTGATGTATATTATACGTACCATATAACATCAAATACCAACGAAACGAAACAAATAAACAAATGCGTAGGTCCTCTAGTCGCCCTGTTTTTAAATTTCGACTAAGTCTTTGCATAATTTCCTGTCAAAAGTTTTTTTGTGACAGGCCAAATTCTGAAAGTTAATAACTTTTAAACCTTACCTTCGACATCCTTCATGTTTAGACGCCCACGTGAAATGGGGGGCGTATATTGCCGTCACCCATGTCCGTCCGTCCGTTCGTTAACAATTGCTCGTAAACACTCTACAAGACACAATTCTAGACGGATTTTGACGGATTTTGACGAAACTTGGTGTAAATGTTAATAATCACCCAAGGATGAACCCTTTTGAAAATCAGAGAAATCGAAAAATATTTAGTATGAGTTATTGCCCTTGTTTTGAAAACACGTTCAATTTTTAGCACGTAAAAACTCTAGAAGGCACAATTCTTGACGAATTTTGACGAAACTTAGTGTAAGTGTTCGGTATAACCCAAGTGTGAACCCTATCGAAAATCAGAAAAGTCAAAAAATATTAAGTAGGAGTTACTGCCCTGTTCTTGAGAACGCGTTCAATTTTTAGCTTGTGAACACTCTGAAAGGCACAATTCTTGACGAATTTTGACGAAACTTTGTGTGAGTGTTCGTTATCACCCAAGGATGAATCCCATTGAAAATCTGAAAAATCGAAAAATATTTAGTATCAGTTATTGCCCTTGTTCTTGAGAACACTTTCAAATTTTAGATCTTAAACACTAAAAGGCATGATTCTTGACGGATTTTGACAAAACTTGGTTTTATTATTCAGTACCGCACTGAAGGTTTAACATTTGTTTCAACGAGCTAAAAATTAAAAACGTTTTCAAGAACAGGGGCAATAACTCATACTCAATATTATTCAGTATCGCCCTAAAGAGTTCAAAAGAAGTTTATGACTGAATGTTGAATATTTCATACTGGTGATTGTTACTGTACTGCTAAATATCTATGTTCAAAATCAAAGCTGCCAGTGGGCGTATATTACCTTGCCTGGCAAGCTATCTCTTACAGAAATAAATTTTTTTTCGTATGTTCGGGGGATAATACCACATGAACTTGAGCTTTGACAACATTCGGTGTAATTTATAACGACATCTTTATTTAAGTTAGCAGCCTTTAACTTGTGGAAATATGCAGATTTTAAAATAGGTGATTTAAATATTTATAAGAGCACTTGTTTGAAATTAAAGACATTTTTAAAACAGTATTCTAAAGTACAAATTCGCAGCTTAAATCATAATATAAATCAATATGTATAAACAAATTTTAAAAATAAAATTACACTCTAATTAGACATATCTAAATTTTATAAAGACATGTGGAATTGATGTATATTATACGTACCAAGACGTGGAATTGATGTATATAATACGTATCAGGACGTGAAATTGATGTATATTATACGTACCAGGACGAGGAATTGGTGTATATTATACGTACCAAGACGTGGAATTGATGTATATAATACGTATCAGGACGTGAAATTGATGTATATTATACGTACCAGGACGAGGAATTGGTGTATATTATACGTACCAGGACGAGGAAGTGATGTATATTATATGTAACAGGACGTGGAATTGATGCATATTATACGTACCAGGACGAGGAAGTGATGTATATTATACATACCAGGACGTGGAATTGATGTATATTATACGTACGAGGACGTGGAAGTGATGTATATTATACGTACCAGGACATGGAAGTGATGTATATTATACATACCAGGACGTGGAAGTGATGTATATTATACGTACCAGGACGTGGAAGTGATGTATATTATACGTACCAGGACGTGGAAGTGATGTATATTATATGTACCAGGACGTGGAAGTGATGTATATTATACGTACCAGGACGTGGAATTGATGTATATTATATGTACCAGGACGAGGAAGTGATGTATTTCATACGTACCAGGACGTGGAATTGATGTATATTATACATACCAGGGCGAGGAATTGATGTATATTATACGTACCAGGACGAGGAAGTGATGTATATTATACGTACCAGGACGTGAAATTGATGTATATTATACATACCAGGACCAGGAATTGATGTATATTATACGTACCAGGACCAGGAATTGATGTATATTATACGTACCAGGGCGAGGAAGTGATGTATATTATACGTACCAGGACCAGGAATTGTTGTATATTATGCGTACCAGGACCAGGAATTGATGTATATTATACGTACCAGGACGAGGAATTGATGTATATTATACATACCAGGGCGAAGAATTGATGTATATTATACGTACCAAGACGAGGAAGTGATGTATATTATACGTACCAGGACGTGAAATTGATGTATATTATACGTACCAGGACGTGAAATTGATGTGTAGTGTACGTACCAGGACGTATATTAATAGTAATTTCTTTTCAAAATATTTTCTTGATTTTTGTTATTTTGTTGATGTATAATATTTATAATATATTTATTTAAAGATGTGAATTTTCACATTTTAATTCTGTTCGACTTTTCCCGCTAAAACTCACACAAGAGCCTGCATCAGTTTTCACATTAACCCTCCATGGCCTGCTGACCTGGCTACATAACCTTCTTTACTCTTTATAATCTGGTCTAAAATATGGAGTCCCTTTAGATATGAAAATCGTCTATTTTCAATAATGCATATTTCGGAAAGTATTAGGTCAACAACTAAGATAAATACATTGTTAGAAAGCTAATGACAAGCACATTACAATCACATCGAATTAAATGTTGACAAGGCCCAAGTTGATGTGATATAATCCTCTGAAGATTCGAAAAATATGCAAATTATCCACTTTAAACAAAAAGTTATTTATCAAAATAACAAAAATAGATATCACCTTAGCTACAATTAAAAAAAAATTGAAAACGATCGGACAAAAATTGTTCACGATTTTTTTGCATTTTTCAAGAACTTCCGGTTGGAGTCTGATGTCTTGAAATATTTTTAAAGGGTTATTTTGCAGTCTGAAGTGTCTGGCGCATTGCCAAAAATGTTCTAACTATTACAGTTTTTGCTGGGAAAATAAATAATAGCTAAAAAATTACTGAAAACTCTGTAAAAGCTAGATCCGGATGGCAATGAAGCAGTGTATTGCAACCTGGGAATCTTTCATAGGGCAAAGATATCGTAAGACCTCAGCACTTTCATAGTACTTCCGGGGAACTCTCGGTTTCTCAAAATCACGTTGAGCGATTCCGTCCCCTGTGTAATTCACAAATGTGGACACAAAACTTCCAGGTTATCCATAATAAATAATTTGAATCACCTAGGAAGAAAAAATTCAAAGTGATACAAGCGCCGTAACCGGAGAGTGGCGCATTTTCGTAGAATTTGAATTTAAGTTCACCATTTATTATCTGATTTGTATGACTTTGGTGTCTATCACAACTTTGTAACTTTATTTAAAACTTGAATTTTATTTTTTTTTATCATGCCCTTTAGTCTATATCTTGTGACCTTGACCTTCAATGACCTTGAATTTTGTGTGAAAAAGGGTAGAATGTCCTTGACCTCAGCTATCTATAGATATACCATCATATCATACATCAACCTCCGGTTTTATAGCCCACCAAAAATTGACATTTTGCAATCTTAGACGCCTATCGTACATTCTCTAATAAACACAGGGGCTTGATTATTTCAGATTTTTAATGGCCTTAAATTATCTTTTTAATGATATATGACAATAATGCTTGGACAAGTTTTGAAAAAAAAAATTGAAATTATTCAAATCCGGTCCTACTATCATATGTAGTCACAATTAGAATGTGCTCGTTTTTCTCTCTTTAACGATATGTGACATTGATGGTTTGCTATAAAAATTCAAATCATTAAAGGGATTGTAAAGAGGTTTTCTAGCCTTTTTTTATGTGTATTGGGGGCACCTTTACTTCTATTTGGGACATTCCAATTCTTCGTCCGATGCCTGTGGTTCCTGCAATTCCATAAAAGAGTTAACCGGAAATAACACACCCCCGCAAGAGAATTCGTAAGCAACCTACCACCAGACCACAATAACATGAAAAAGGAGATTATCCCCCCTTACAAGATGCCGGCATTTCTAATTAAAAATTGCCGACTCATTCACATTTTGCTTCACCGTTGCCTTATAAAACTCTTTACTACGTCTTTCATTGCTTAGTTTTAATGGAATGGAAGAGTTGTATGATATTTGTGCAAACCAGAGCGCTTGATATCCTTATTTATGATAAAATGGCCGGTTTCGAATATACTGAGGCGACCATTTGCTAAATCAAGTTAGTCCAGTAGTAGTAGTAAAATAATAATAACTAAAATTCTGTATCTGGTCGCGGCCTAGGTCGAATACATAGTGTACCTATTACGGCCCTAAAACAACTCTTCGTCAAGCCTTTGATAATGTGACTTACCTTTAGCGGGTGTTGATGGTGTGTTATCTCTCAAACAGCTGAAATGGTCTCCTTGGGCGGAGCTCTTTTTGTACCCAGACTCACACTCGCAAACAATGTCAGCCACCGGAGTACATTCTGATTTGAGAATGGAGAACTGAGGACAATCATAAAAGGTACAGTCTAAGCACATTGTATAATTATTGTAATTTCTGCTAAAGGTGTCTTTAGGGCATGCAGCACAAATTGTGTTCTTGGTAGCGATACATGGTATTTGAACATACTCTCCCGGACCACAATTACATTCTGTAAACGGAATAAAAACATGTACAGATGGTTCTACGTTTGTTTACTGTATAATAGTCATAACGATGTGATAAAGTTCTCTTAATATCTCCTGTTGCAGCAAATAAAGCTCAATATTAATTTTTTAAGCTAGTTCGTCTGTAATGTAGCTGTCTCGCCAATGTTCACGTTTTAACAATACAGGGCGGTTAGAATTTTAATAGATTCAACCAAGACATGACTCAAATTCATATCGAAATATACCAAGATCGTACCAATCTAATAACCAAACTGGTTTCATTCAAATTCATATTGTGTAGTTTCTGTGGAGTTAAGCAGGGTGACGAAAAGATGCGACTAAAAGAATAGCAGTTTAAACAGTTTCTGTAATCTGTTTCAACTAATATTTACCTATATCAGAATGACTATATCCATTTACAACCTGTAATTAAAAATAAGATATTCTGGCAAACTCGTTTACCTCTAGTCCGAAAAATCTGCTTCTATTCCAGCCTCTGATAGATATTTTTTTACTTTTGTCGGCTGGAGTAGAGTCAGAAAAAATAGCCTGTTAAATGGGGATTTATCACACCTCCGAAGATGCGTTTTTTCTTACATAAAATTAAATGACTGATTATTAGTGTTAGGCATCACCGTAACTTTTGTTCTGTTAGTATCACGTGACAATGTGACCTTGCAACTAATGGCTTTCTAAATGACCGAAGCGAAATCAGTTTCGTCAAAAAAAACTTGACATAGATGTTGTAAGGAGAATAGGATACTAAAAAAATATTCATCTTTCCAAATATATCTGGGTTTTGCAGATCCGAGGTATCTAAATATGTTTAAATCCCCCGCATCTGTGGAGTTGCGGAATGTCTCCATTTTCAGCGCCTATTTTTTTGTCTCTACACCATCTGTCCAAATAGCTATAGGAGGGTGATATAGAGACGGATGTTCCAGTCTAGTTTACCTCAATATTATCAAGATGAAAACTACCTCGATAATGAATGGTGAATTTTATTAACGGGGATGCCTGAATCCCTAACCAACAACTATAGATCAACTCTAAAGATTTTCTAAAGCCATCAAATTAACGCTGGTATAAAAATTATCGTTGAAATACTGTTAACAAAAGTAGAAAAAGAATAAGTTTGCTCTCAACCCTAACAATTTCAACTTCTAAGTGAATCAATTAGAAAAATTCGCTTATTTGTTCTATAAAAACGATCTAGACATTTTGTAGCAGCATTTAATTAAGTATTGTGGAGATTGAATAGCTAAAATCCATGCCTCATTAGATATAAAAATATACAAAAATAGTCGATTCAAGGGTGGATTGTTCACACTTTTTCTAATTTGAAGACAATGTTTAAATATTTCAAGGATTAAAAGAACCAAATTCCTGTGGTTCTATCTTAAAAGGTAAGGTGACCACGTGACCTTATTATACAAGCCTTTATGTTCATAATGAACGCTATGGGTTTATAAGTAGAGTAAATAACGTATGAATGCGTGCGTTTTACATTAATATTAAACGTCAGCATATATGCAACAAAGAGTTTCCAAGGGTTAACCATAATACCCAACAGCTCATCGTCATGGAAACCAGCTAAATACAGTTTAAAGGCGCAGTATGCAAAATTTTCATTATCAAAAACGTTATAACCTATACCTGAAAATATTTTTAAAACATGCTATTTACATCTATTTTAATAAATAATTTGCGACGTTTCGATTAATTAAAAACTGAGAGTACTAATTGTTAATTAAGCAGTTTGACCTAGTATTGGTGTTTTGGTGACTGTAAAATTACTCAATATTATTAGTTGAAAAGTTCGGACTAAGTAGGAGACATATTTCTCTACAATTTGGCGTTTGTTTTAAATCCATACAGTAGTTTTCTAACAACTTCCAAAAAGCCTAACGAACTTTAAAAGTTTACGTAATATTACGTTAACTTTTTAAATAGTTTTGGCGTTAAAAAATTAATGAGGGGATTTTTTCAGTTAAAACTTTCAGATACACATTTCTCTATAAATTTTTCACAAATTTGAGCAAGCGGAATGCCCCTTTAAATAACGTTACTAATACGATGTATCATTTGAACCCCTTTGTACACAAATATTTCCTATTTCGTTTCATAACTGATGCATAAAGAGCTAGGATATTATCAAATATTACTCAATATAAATACAAGTACAATGAATCATGCTAACGGATACAGTTGGCAAAAAATTCATAAAAATTAAAAAAAAGACTGAATAGATATACACATTGTCCCGAAACAAACAAACTACACAAACACCAGTGAATCATGCTAATGTATGTAGAGTTGAGTACATAAGAGCGCAGCGTGACCATTTTGACTGGGAGGTATAACGTTTTTCCCACGAACACGTGGTCTAAAAAGCTCCTTCAAAGAAAAAAAAATAACTAGCACTAAGTTATAAATGCATACGAACATACAAAATCCATCGTTTTAGCTTTAGTATGGGTTGTGCTGTTATCGATAAACTGTTCGTCTACATTTAAAGTGACTGTCGGTAAAACTGCTTCAGATTATAATAATAATAATAATAATAACTTTATTAGACACCCGGTTGCACAAGATAATCTTCCCTGGGATATTACTACATACAACTACAATCACATATTTACAAAATGATAAACCAAAAAATAAGGAAGAAAATAAATGAATATATGAAAATGTATGGTTACGATAATAATGTGACTAACACATAAAATAAATTGAATTAATTGAGGTAATATTTTCCGTTGGTTATCAAAGATGAAGAGAAAATATAGTACTATTAGACACATAATTACATATTATGATCGTAATTCCTTTTTCAGTCCTGTCTTAAAACCCTCTTCATCATTAGATTGTTTAAGTACTTGAGGTAATGAATTCCAGAGTAAACTAGCCTTGTATTTGAATGTTCTTTTCATGGCCTCAATCCGGCACTTGGGAAGATGTAATGAGTTTTTTGTTTCTGAACGTAGACAGAGAGTTGTTGTAGAAATTGAAGATTGTAACCTAAAATAATTTGAAAGTAGTGAGGACATTTTCCATTCTTAATTTTGTAAGTCAGTATCCCAGTGTTATATTTAATTCGTTGTTCAAGAGTTAGCCAATTTAATTGAGAAAACAAGTCTGTCGATATTGTATCATAGTTCGCGTCAAGGATATTGCGTGCTGTCCGTTTTTGTAGCTTAAATAGGAAGTCAAGTTTATTCCGGAAAGCATTACCCCACACAATATTACAATAGTCTAAATGAGGCGATATATAGGCATTATGAAATAATATTCGTGTTTCTAATGGTAGATTTATTTTAATTCTATTAAGAAGATATATTTTAGATGAAACAAACGAGTGAAGCTTAGTTAAATGTTTCCCCCCAGTCTAAGTGATCATCTTTCGTAATTCCGAGTAAAATAGCTTCCGAGACATTGTCCAACTTCTGGTCACCAATGGAAAGAGAAAGGTATTTGTCACTATCTTTCATGTTTTATCAACATATTTTTAGTTTTATTTGCATTGATAACCATACCATTATCACAGCACCATTGGCTGATAATATTTAAGTCCTCTTGAAGACAGCTTTGAGTTTTTTATCGTAAAAATGTATAGTAGTATCATCAGCAAATATTTCGGGAATGACATTTTTAGTATAAAGTGGAAGATCATTTATGAAGATAAGAAACAAAAGTGGTCCAAGGATAGATCCCTGAAGAACACCACATTTTAGCGTCCTCTGTATGGATTGAAAACTACCAAGACAGAGGTTTTGGTTACGGTTTGATAAATACGATTTAATTAAATATAACAAATAAGTTTGTCAAGAAGGAGCTGGTGATCCAAAAGATCAAAAGCCTTACTGAAATCCAAGTAGACAACACCTGTCAATTTACCCTGGTCTAAACATTCAAGCCAATTATCAGTAATCCGACCTAGTGCTGTAGAACAAGAATTGAACATTAAAATAGGATGCTATCGCTTCATGTGTATAGTTCTTGCTACTGACTTATTTAAAATGTGCCCAATTAGGCCATTAGGCTGCACAGTATTGTATATTGATAGTATTATAATAATGTTCTTGACGGCAAATGACGACATTCTGCATTAAATATAAATGCAACTACAAAATAAATATTTTCACTTTTAAAATAGTACTCAATACATCAATTGTAGAGAGATATAGAAACACCACTGTTAAAATAGTGCTCAATACATCAATTGTAGAGCGATGCAGAAATACCACTGTTAAAATAGTACTCAATACATCAATTACAGAGAGATATAGAAATACCACTGTTAAAATAGTGCTCAATACATCAATTGTAGAGCGATATAGAAATACCACTGTTAAAATAGTGCTCAATACATCAATTGTAGAGCGATATAGAAATACCACTGTTAAAAAATGTTCAATACATCAATTGTAGAGTGATATAGAAATACCATTGTTAGAATAGTGCCCAATACATCAATTGTAGAGTAATATAGAAATACCACTGTTAAAATAGTGCTCAATACAACAATTGTAGAGTGATATAGAAATACCACTGTTAAAATAGTGCTCAAAACATCAATTGTAGAGTGATATAGAAATACCACTGTTAAAATAGTGCTCAATACATCAATTGTAGAGCGATATAGAAATACCACTGTTAAAATAGTGCTCAATACATCACTTGTAGAGTGATATAGAAATACCAATGTTAAAATAGTGCTTAATGCATCAATTGTAGAGCGATATAGAAATACCACTGTTAAAATAGTGCTCAATACATCAATTGTAGAGCGATGCAGAAATACCACTGTTAAAATAGTGCTCAATACATCAATTGTAGAGCGATATAGAAATACCACTGATAAAATAGTGCTTAATGCACCAATTGTAGAGCGATATAGAAATATCACTGTTAAAATAGTGCTCAATACATCAATTGTAGAGCGATGCAGAAATACCACTGTTAAAATAGTGCTCAATACATCAATTGTAGAG